GTGCAGAAAATCACTTGTGAAACATCAAAGAAATTAATTGCTGCATGAAATCCTAATTTGTGATTAATCAAAAATATTATGCTGCAATCTGCAACAACATAATATGTACCAAACTCCTATGCAGTATTTGATTTGTTTCATTCTGGTCCATCAGACTAACAAATTACAAAGACAAAACAACTCCGTCCAGTGTGACTATTGAAGTTTTTACTACTTGAAAAGTAGGTTTCAAGTTTTCAAGTAGTAAAAACTTCAATAGTCACACTGGACGGAGTTGTTTTGTCTTTGTAGTCCTATGCAGTAATTAGAAATGGCTGGACCAAGGGACTAGAACATTTACTGAAATGCATGGCAATGGGGAAGGCCTCCATTTCTTGGATTATGTCAAAAGCCTGCCCTGCTTCAAGACTGTCCATCCTTTTCTTGGTTATAAAACATATTTTCTTATATTAGGTAGTTTTTGGAATCCATGTATCTTGTATTCTATCCAAGCATTCAGCCCACTAATAGACTTGAAAGGATTCTGACGATGGTGTATGCTGTACAGAACTGTACAGTTCTGTTCAGCCCATTGTTTCAAGCCATCTCACTCCTATCTTCGTTCAGCCTGCACAGCGTTTACACTCCACTGCTCTCATGTCCAGCCTTCAGTTCTGCAGGCATTTTCATATGCACACACACATCTCGTCTCGATCTCGGAGATAGTGACGCATCCACAATGGCCAGTCATGTCTATTCTTGTTGGGGGGAAAACAAAATGTCACCATGAAACAACTGCAGTACAGGTGTGTCTGGAGCTCTCTCAAACCACTCATGCACTAAAGCATCACAGCACAAGTTTATAACGCCATTGTCACTGGCTGATTGCAATTCTCATGGTGTCACCACAAAGCACACAGATCACTTAAACTGTTTGGGTGTTCTCTCTTTAGCTAATGTCCAAGTCATGAAGACAGCCTGGTCTCTCAACAGACAGGAGCAATTAACATGTGTCACTTGCCCAGCCTGCCCAAACAAAATCCACTGTCCTTCCACCTCACAATATAATCTGTTTGCAAAATGTGTTTCTTTTGCCCAGTTTATATGCTAACTTACTTCAGTTGCTAGACAAAACCAACATTCTCATATTGTAGCATGTAGACCTGTTGCTGGGTAACGGTCACAAAACAATGCCCATTGCTAGGGCAGCAGATTCTTAATAAACAGATGTTCTGCAAGAAATTTTGGGGCAACAGCTCAGTAAATATGTTCCCACAGCAATGAATATACACACAATAGAAGAACGGGGTTTTCTATGCGGTCCGTGCTGAGAATTTATATCCAGGACAGCTGGAGCAATGACTGAGTTGAGCTCCGCAAGGAAGGCTGAGAAGAGATGACACTATAATTAAATGGAATTAATCGTTGTGGGATATTTGCCAGGAAGTAATGATGTGAGCACAGAAGCTGAAGAATCTTCAGTGTTAAGATCTGTTACCAGGAAACGACTAGTGAAAGCACAATGAGAAGATGTGTTCTAGTGATTTGTGAATTGCGGAGATTAACAGTGGCACTATTATAACTGCTTGTAGTTCCAAGTCCTGTGTATAAGCAGTCAATAAATCCATTCACCAGTCCACAGTCACACCCCTCAACACGTGACACTATGCAGATATCGCAAACAGGCCGATGTAGCCTGGGCACTCTAGACTTGTATCCAGGAGGTGCTCAATTTGAATTAAAACCGTGGTCCCTAGGACATATCACGTCTCTTCATGAGCTATGTTACAATGGTACTGAATGGTAGGTTGCAGAGCCGGGATGGCACAGTCACTATACAGACTGGCTAACGGGCTAGACGACAGAGGGTTCTGAGTTTGAGTCCCCGTGGAGTCAAGAATTTTCACTTCTATACGTCGTCCAGGCTGGCTCTGGGGTCCACCCAAACTCCTGACCAACGGGTACTGAGGGTAAAGCTGCCGGGACGTGAAGCTTACCACTCATCTCAAACTAGTGCCAAGGTCAAGAAAACGTGAATATATACATCCACTCCCCCATACGCCTTCACGGCGTCGTGCTTAATTAGTTAAGTACAGGGTCAACCTTAACTTTTACTGAATGGCAGGATGACTGATTTATGATATGATGGAAGGGTTTTCAAAGGAAGCAGTCATGACCTGACTGGAGTGACAGCTGAGAATCCAACCAAGCACTTCCTGACTACACGTCTGAAGTGTTACCAACCTGCTTGGGAATGTCATGTGATCTGGTAGGCGAGCATCAGAGTTCTGGGCGAACCTGCTGTCTCCATGTCCACACATTAGATGCAGACTAACTAACTCCGTGGCCTGTAGTCCGCAAGCGAACTATTCCAACCGAGCGACCGCCGCTTGTCGGCGAAGTTAGTGCAAACTTTTGCGGATAGAGGGTGTCGCGTGGTCAGCAGATGCAGACTTATGTTCTGAAATGCTGACAACCATTTACCACACTGTACGGCGTCATATCGAACACAAGACTGCAGCATTAACTACCATATAGCAGAGAAGCACAGGCCATATAGGGGCCTACCTTCCTGTGGGATGTGACACCGTGCGGTTTGGTAGGAGTTTACCAGTGTTACAGAGGGATGTACTTCTTGCTTGCTTGGTTCACTCTTCGAAACTGAAAATGGGGGTAGTACTTTCGTCTGACACGTTGGTAAATTTCTACCAGGCTAGACGGCGTCACGGCCAGGCGACAGTACTCTTCTTCACTGTCACAGCTGTGAAAAATTCCAATGTCATATGAATAATATCAGATGCAAGTTACATGAAGAAACCGTGACAACAGCAGCAACTGCAAGAAACGTGTTGAAACAGTCCACCCCAAACAGACAGCCGTAGCAAAGTGACAAATATGAAGCCAGGAGAAGAAGCCACTTCAGAAGACCCTGAAACAGTCAGAATGCTCGTCTCTAATAGAGAAAACGGCCAGATGAGCCTAATAATGTTCATAAATAAACCACATCTTGAAGTGGGAGTGGAGCGGATGTCTGACAGTGGCTCATTGCCATGCGCCGCTGTGATGCACATGTCTTCACGTCGGCACAGGTAGCTGTGTCTTCATAAACATGCGCACAATGGCTTGATGTGCTCGGCGCAACACAGGTGCATATGCCCCGCAAAGCTCTGGGGGCCTCCTAATGTACAGGGGCTGGGCCTTTTGGCCCCTTCCGCTCCCAGGGTTAGTTAAACTGGTCCCTCCATCTCTGTAATGGTCAGACTCGCTGTGCGTGGTCATCAGGAGCCTTCCGAGGAATCTGGTCTGTTGGCTTTCTTACGATCTGTTCATAGCAATTTTGTTGCATACAGACCGAAAATATTCAGTTCCTATTTTTAGCCTACTTACCTTATTTCGGAAAAAAAAAAAACTTGTTGTCTGTGTATCCCGCTACAATTTTTGTTATGATGCTTAGGAAATCGCTTGCTGTCTGTCCTCCCTCCTAATTTTTCCCTTTTCTATGAGGTCCATATCGTATCAAATTTGCTTAGTGGGGGGTGGAGTCCAACCGGGTACACTCGGCACGGCGGCCACTGACTGGCCTATTGTACCTACGCCGGGTGATTATGATGGAGAATTTGGTTGAATGAAGATTGGCAGGGGAAACCGAAGTACTCGGAGAAAACCCGTCCCAGTGCAACTTTGTCCACCACAAATCCCACTTGACCAGACCCGGGATCGAACCCGGGCCGCCGTGGTGGGAAGCCAACGACTAACCGCTTGAATATCGTATCAAAGTGAAGGTCTTCCCATAACTTCTTGTGTATATTATGCAACCCTGTGGGCCGTGTCCCTAACTGATGATTTAGGCTTACAAGATCGCTCTGGTGTCTGTGTTCCCTGCCCCTGTGTCACTAGGCAAGGGCAGTATGTATGTCTGTGCCCCCCCCCCGCACAAAAAGAGCTGCAACTCAATCAAAAACTAAACTCGTGTGAACATACCCTTCGCAGATGCATGTGCTCTTGGTGACAGAGCCAGGTTCACACCACTGCAGGCGTGACCTCAGGAAACCGCAGCAAAGGCAGATCAGTGCGCGCAGTCCACATCCGCCCACAAGCCACACCACATCTTGCAGCCGATATTACACACAAGAAATCTGTTTACTGCACCTGAGTAAAACCGTCACATCTTCATTGCAAAATAATGGCAGGGCCTACGTTGCTGCATGGAACTGAAGCCTGGACATTAAAAAAACGGGACTCCAGTGTAATTTGGACGGACGGAGCGAAATTCGTTAAGATCGGTTAAAGCGTGTACCCTCCTTGACAGGGATTGGGTACAAATGTGAAGTCAAATTGCAGGGACAAAACATCAAATGAGGGGTGTGGGCTGTATCTGAGCTGTCCTAGGGCAAGGGCAGTCCATACGCAATGTGCGCAGCAGAAAACTGATCTCATGCAAATACAGCGTGTCAGAGTGGACTGGATTCAGCTGGCTCAGAACAGAGACAAGCGGCGCTTCTGTGAACATGGTAATCGGGCTTCAAGTTCCATAAAAGGCTCCTCTCTGGGGGACTGTTCCCCGACAGCGGCCTGCGCACGGCGGTGGTGAAGAGGCTGTCAGCCACGCCAAATTCGCGTGGTACAACAGAGCCCAACTATTCCGACTGACACTTCTCATTATTTTCCTCACTTCCTCTGGACAAGTGTCAGGGCAACTGGTGCTTGTGTCGGTGTTGCGCGCGAGTGCACATCCGGTCAGTACCATTGTCTTGAGGAGCTGCGGAACGCGGGCCGAATGGAGATGCGGCCACGGGGTGACGACTCGTCGCGACCGCGAAGTCACGAGCGAGCGGCGCGGAGATAAGAGCAGCCCGCCCGCCATATTTTATCAACTTGTAATAATATTTAGGACGTGCTGCCTGCCGGCAGGTTATTAGACGCCGTCTCTTGCGAACGAGNGGGGGGGGGCAATCACAGCATCGGCTTGGAAAGGCTGAGGAAAACCTGAGTCCTCGGCGATTGTCTTGTAGGGCAGTCCGTCGTGTATTTCTTTCTTTGGGGGGGGGTACTTAACGACGCGGCAACTTGCTAGACTGATACTGGGGCGGATCTGGAAGTTACGTTCATGAACGGCGAACTGCCTGCAGAAGTTTGGTTGGGGAGATCTACATCACCCCCGCACTCCTGGCCCCACGTGACTACCGTCGGTCTGTCTGGGTCACTCAAAACAGGAAAGGCACAACTCCCGACATATGACGTAGGGATCTTCCAAGAAGGCACCATTAAACGGCTGTACCCGTGGGACAAACGTCACAATGTATAGGATGAGTATGTGCAAAAGTGGCTTCAGTGTGGACTACAATTCTGAATGTGTACACGTAAATACTAACTTTCCGATCTGCCCTCACCGATGATAAAAGAAGTGGAACGGATTTTGAAGGCCTGACTGAAGTAAGCGCTCTAATGCTACACAGTGTAGCCAAATTAACGTTCTGAAAGGAAAGTTGATCATTTGTTTTGGCTGCATAGAATTGTGTACGCTATGGGTATGGTGTGTTGGCTGTTCTGATGAATTTAACAACTGCTATGAAATATATCCGTATGTCGGATATAAATTTTATTGTTTTCTTTACATATATTTCAATGTTAAATTTTTTAATATTTCAACATAATTCTATATTGCTTTTAATATTAGGAAAATTAAATGTTCTCTGATTAATTTCTATCCCAGCGTCTGCCTGGAGAGACTGAGGGAAACCAATGAAAACCTCTACCAGCACAGTCGGTGTACAGGACAAGTTTTGAACCGAGCACCTCGGTGTGAAGCCGTATATTGTGGTAGATAGTTACCAGCGTTTCCGAGTAATCTGCTTGTCTCCATCTTCACGGCGGAAGAGTAGGCCAAGCGTGAAACAGAAACAGGAAAAGGGAGGACCTGTACCTGGGGACCCAACCTGCCTTGTCCAGGGATCGAGACTAGCTCTCCCCAATGGGCTCAACTGAGTAGCAGCTTAGAGAGGTGGCCTGGATTCGATTGGAGGTCAGGTAACGCGGATCTTCTGGTTCTGCCACCTGCTTCACGTTGCACGATCACCTTATCGCCGACGCTATACAACCTCGGCAATGCCCGAAGCAGGCGCTCTTTCCCACTTAGACCTGACGCGCTCTCCGAGAACCCAGGACGAGGAACGATGTACGCCGCCGAACTGGACATCGCGCGCGACTCCTTCCCGATCTACAGGCAGTGGAAATTAAAGGATCAGAAGAAAGGTGCGAAAGAGAAACAGAAAATGGATGCGGTGACCAACCTCTGAGAGCCTTCATGTGGGCCACGGCCATCCTCAGGATTGTGAGCTTGTCCGGCTTGCGCGCAAGGGCGCTGCAGGTGGGCACCATGTCGGACAGCTCCGTGATGTAGGCGGTCATCTTGTTGCGGCGCCGGCGCTCGATTTCGCAGTGGTTCTCCCTGCAGTAGGAAGCAAAGACAAGCACAGGTCATCACAGGAGCACATCATCCGGGAGGTCCGGTACAGTTTCGGAGAAAGGCACTGCCCCATATTGAGTAGAGAACGCGGCTGCATGTCGTGTCTGGAGGAGGCAGGGCGAGCGGCGGAGTCAGATGTAGCCCCGGGGTTGGCGCGTCTCTCTCCCCAGACCGTGGGAACAGGACGGGTCACGACACGACACAACACAACACAACACAACACAACCTCTAATTAATATGTACTGTACACTTTCCTTCACGGAACAACCGTGACGTCACACAGTGGATTGTACAAGCCGGGTTTCCAGACCTGGCCTCTGAGTTGCGCGTGAGAAGTGAGGCAGCGGTTTCAGACGCAACCCATACACACCTCAGTGTCCAACTGAGCCATGATCAATATGCTGGGATCAGGAAGGAAACTCGTGGTTCCACAACGCTTATGTAATTTCGGGGAACTGTTTCATCTACTTAACTCTTTCATGAGGTGAAAAATGTAGCACAGCTACTACACGCCCTTCATGAAACCCATGTTTACAAGAGTCCGTCACTGGTGCCTGTTCTTCCCTATTTAAGTAAGATCCGTTTTAATATTATCCTCCCACCAACACCTCGGCCTCCAAAGTTCTTCCTCCAACTGAGATGATGTATGAATTTGGGCTCAGATCAGCGTTAACAGCAGCAGTGGTTCCCCCCCCCCCAAACCCTAATTTTGCATGAGGCCTTGGTCTTACCAACCCCAGTGTTCGCGAGCACTTGCTGTACAGCTTGGTATAAAGCTCTTCACTGTGCAGTTTTGCCCATCCTCCTGTCGCTCTCTCTCAAGTCGANTATACGAGGGAGAGTCAGTAAATCGGTCACAAATGGATATAAAACACGTGTCCCTTCGCTTTACAACTGCGTCGAAACCCGCAGCACAGAAGTCTTTTGATATTTCGTCTCATTTTCTTCGACTTCTTCGTAATCAGCTAAACATTTGCTACTAGCGTGGCTTTCTGGTGCAACAGAGAGATGGAAGTCACAAGGGGCCAAATCCGGGCTGTAAGACGGATGTTCAAGACGTTCCCACTATATTGGGTTGCTCGCTCTGTATGGGGTCTGGCACTGTCTCCATGAAGCAGTACCTTTCTTACCATTTAGCCTGGATGTTTTCTGCGAATTGTATCCCGAAGTTGCAACAGAACTTCACAGCAAAAAGTAAAAAAGTAAAAAGTAAAGCTATCCCAGTAACAGGCCGTGGAGGCCCATAGGGTTGTGAGACGTTGAGGGTCCCACATTATCTAGACAATCAGCTCAAAGATGGCGGTAAGGTTGTCAGCTTTACGCGCTGGCCGCACTTTACTCCCCAGGAAAATTATTTAATTAATTCCTGGTACTCATTTCTGTTAGAGGCTGAGTAAACACCAGGGCCTAGTGCGGCTGGAAGGATTAGGTCAATTGAAAAAAAATCCAATGACCTCATCGGGACTTGAACCCGTAACCTTCCGGCTTGTAGCATAGTGCAACCAACTACGATGCAGAATTCACATCTCACAGCAACCCTCAAAATCCAAAAACACGGTATGCATAACCGTTCAATTTAATGTCGTAACCTTGAACTTTTTTGCTGAAGATGAAGTGGAATGTTTATATTGCATTGAAGCATGCTGATTCGGGCTGGTAGTGATGCACCCACAATTCGTCCCCAGTAACAGCATACTCGTTTCTTCTCCTTCATCTGCATAACTCAAGAGCCGTTGCAAAGACAGACCCATTCGTTTAAGTTTTTCCCGATCCTTCAGTTCAGTGGGAGCCAACCATGCTCACACTTCCCGAAACGTCAAAGAGTCATGCTGTATGCTGAACCACGGGAACATCCTAGTGCAGTTGCTACATTGACTGTCGTTATCCTCCTGCCAGCTCGAATCAACTCTTCCCCCCGCTGCACAGCTGCTTCTGTCGTAGTCTCAACAGAGGGACTTCGTCGGGTATTGTCTGCGGCTTTCGAGCGTCCTTGAGAAATTTCTCGAACCAGTTGTGAACCGCTTAACGCAATAAACACTTCTTATCATAAACAGAAAATATTTCTTTATGAATATTATTTGAACTGAGAACTTTTGCCCACAGAACGCGGCTCTTCGTTTGTATATTCCTCAAGCAGTCGCCATTTTGACTACTGAAACCAGCTTCTGAACATGCGCATGACTGTCTGCCACATGACTCATGAAGTGGAACAGTGCTGCTACCTAGTGATACACATAAAAAACCTCTTACATCCATTACAGCTGTTCTACTCCCACTTGTGAACTATTTACTGACTCGCTCTTGTCATAAGCAAAATGGTGATGCGGAAATTAAACACAAAATTGAAATTAATATTTCAGTCTTTATCCCAGCATCCTTCCTTAAAGAAAAACTCATGGTTAAGAGATGACCAAGCTGTCTGTGCGTGTCTTCCATTTCAACGCCAGAATGAACACACTCGTGTTCACAAGACTTAGTACGAAAGATTTACTTTTGTAGGTCACGTGAATACCGTAATTTTGGTTTCTTAAAACCAGTAATATTATCATGGGGAGAGGGCGAACTTGTAAGGTGGGGAGATAGTTACAGTATATAATATCCTTATTAGATATATGAGACTAGTTTTTTTAGGCAAGTAATTGTCAAGGGACTTGTTAAAATAAATCAAAAACCTGGTGACCACGCGAACTCTCCTTAAGCTTCTAGTTTCTTTGCAATAATTAATAAATTATTTTGGTTAGGGTTGTAAAATTTTGTACTAAGGTAGATGGGAAATATACCAGCATTTTGTTTTGCGAGTCATCACTTAGAAAAACTGAAACTACGAAACTTAAAGAGATTCCATCAGACAGGTTTACAAGATTCTGTACTTAACGAGTTCTTCAAAGAAATAAAACAGACTAAAAATAAATGTAATAATTATTAATATGGGAGATTAAACGTTTATGTAAAAAGAAAGCAACGCGTTATTACTTCTACCAGGAGTTTCCTGTAACTATGCAGGCAAGTAGTTACATGTATTTTGTTTCCTTAAGTCTATGAGAAAGGCATTTTCACTTCAAATCCTGATTTTTCCTTTTTGTCTGAGAGCCCGCTTTTAACAATATACATTAAATTTTTACTCTACTGAATGAGTCATGAGAACTGAGGTGTCTCTAACAGAATCAATACCAGGAATATTCTTGGGGGTAAAGGGCGGCCGGCGCGTGGGGCTGACAACATCACCACCATCTGTGAGCCGACTGTCTAGCTAACGTGGCAGCCTCGACGTCTCACAACCATATTGGCCTCCACGGCCTGTTATGGGGATAATTTTACCTTTTCTTACCAACTTTATAGCGTGGAATTGTAAACTGACTAATGAATTGGAAATTATCTGGAAGGAGGCGGCAGTGGCTAATAGAATTAATCTTCAGGAATTTGCCTGGACTAATTAAGAAACGAATGAAAACCTCGGTAAAATAGCTCATGTTCCAGCCGAGATTCGAAATCAGCATCTCCGAATACAAGACTAGAGCGTTATCGCTACAGTAACCAGCTAGACAGGATTTATATGGTTAACCCTGTGACACGCTCAGTGAGTTCCCTTCGTGCATACACGAAGTAACACGTACTGCTATAAATTATATATGTATTAATACATATATCACTAAGCTAGTGTTCACATTCGCACAGTGACCATAATGTGGTCAAAAGACCATATAATTTCACGGTAAACATTAAGTGCATACCCATCAACTGTCATCCTTTGGATTCATCACTGGCTTCCAAAGTGTTCAAGCTCAAAAGTTACTCACAAGTCGGCAGATGGAGACAGTGTGTCAGGGGGTGAGAGGTCAGAAGGTGTAATGAAAAGAGGGGTGTGGAACCTTCATGATAAGAGGATAGAATTACAGAGCTTAAAATGATGGTAGGATTTGAGGTTCTTACAGCGGTAGTTACAAAAAGTGCTATCATCTGGCATACAGCACAGTGTCAAGCAGACTTGTCACTTGCTTGGTTCACTCTTCTGTCCTGAAGATGGAGGCGATATGTTCCTCCGAAACGTCGGTTGACTTTCAACGGACTACACATGTTATATCCTAAAAGACTGTTTTGTCTGAGAAGTCCAAAGAATTAACAAAAGATGTACATTGGAGATTTTAGATTATGACTGGGGCGATTATGGTCTTCGGGGGTGTGACGCCGTGTAGTCTGGTAAGTGTTTACATCTGTTTCGGATGCCGTTTCCAAATTTCACTCTTACGTTGGATGCAGCAGATTCATCCGAAACGTTGGTGAATACCTACCAGACTATACGGCGTTCAACTCCAAGGAGACAAATAAATGGGTTTTACAAAACAGATCTGTGTATCATACGCTCAACTGAGAGGAACTACAATTATCTAAAGTATCGCTTAGCCTACTGGTAAAGCTGTAGACTTGTATTTGGAAGGTCTTAAGTTCGAAACTTGGCCGAAATATAAGCTATTCTAGTTGGCTATTTAGTGGTCTTCCTTGATCCCTCCAAGATAATACAGGGATAGCACCTCAAATAGACCACGACCGCTTCCTTCCAGATTCTTTCGAACCCAATAATTTTCAGTCATCCTATGTCCCGGCCGCGCCATAACTCAAGCGGTTAGTCGCTGGCTTCCCATCGCGGCGGCCGGGGTTCGATTCCTGGTCTGGTCAAGTAGGATTTGTGGTGGACAAAGTGGCGCTGGGGCAGGTTTTCTCAGAGTACTTCGGTTTCCCCTGCCAATCTTCATTCCACCAATTGCTCCACAATCACCATCACCTATCATCTGGGGCTGGTACAATAGGCCAGAAGTGGCCGCAATGCAAGGGACTTAGTCCCACCCCACTAGCAATAAAAAAAGGTAACGTTCAAGCGTCAGTGCTTAATTAAGCAACACGCCTTCAA